GCAGTGTTACTGAAACCTAACACTTTGGTTTTACTTGGCCAGTATGCCTATAGATCACAATATGTCATTTTATGTGGCTAAAGTTGCTAAAAGTGTCTTCCCTAACAAGTAGCAAGTTCCCGCTTTCTCCCAACTGCACAGAAGTAACCACTGTTAGTTTGCTGCTTTCCTGTAACTTTACAGACAAATACTCTACATATCTTGTTTGTCAAGAACAACTGCTTGCTTTTAGTTGGCATATGTGACATGGCGCTAACAACCAGTTACACATTCTCAGGCTGGCCTGACTTTGTGGGTTAATTTGCCATTGTGAAGCCTAATGTGCAGTGCATGCTGGTACTGTAGGTGTAGGCACAATGGATCAGTCACTGTGAGAAATACAAAGCCAATTTTTCTGTCGGTACGAATGTGGCAAAGTTGTTATTCTTTAATTTGGTACTGGAGTGTTAAATATTGCACTTTCATATAGTTGGGGGACTTATGAGAAAACGAATAGTCGAAATAAAGGCAACAGTAGCTGAGATATCCTGACTTTTGGTTCTTAAAATAGGTCAAGCTCAAAAACACTGGATCCTGTGATTCTCAAAGTGCAAATTAATAGCATCTTTCCTTAAATCCTTCCTACCTTGTACACAGGCTGCCTGTTATAAATTGGTAGTCTCCAAGACCAAATAACCTCGATGACATCACCAGTGCATCATCAGGGTTATTTTCACAAACTTGACAAAGCTCCTCCAGAGCCACAGGACATGTTATACAATACTGAGTAATACTAACCATGATAAGAGTGGCCCTTTTAACAAACTACACACTCCGCCAAAAAAGCCTTGACATGGGGCATATCTTTATATCTTTCCGTAAGGAAAATTTCATAGCATACAGTAAGTGTTTGGATGACAAAACTGTTCCAAAGAAAAACAGCAAATGATAAAATCTATGCAGTGATGTTGAATCCAGGTAATACTGATGAAATCCAGGTCATTGTATGGTATAAAGTAATGTGCAGCCATTGTCACTCTGGTGATGCATGGTTATGTCTGCTATATTGAGCAAGACTCCCAAAGAGGACTACAATAGTTCTAGTACATCATGCTTTTTGTTTCTTGATTGTAAATGACTGACAAGAACCGGCATGACTTGAAATACACAATATCAAATTATCTAGTCTAGTTCATAAGTGCACATAACAATGGATATAACACATGCATCATATGCTGGCTGTAGCTTACTTGAATTGAAAATTAACTGAAAATGTAATTATTGTAACCAGTTGTTATGCTCTCTTCTTGTACTGCTATCACATAAAAAAGCATGAATTTTAACAATTAATGAAACTGGACTGTCTGTATCATTAGTCCCTATACAAATTCCCCAGAAAAAAAGTATTTCGGACCAGCGCTTCTAGATTTTGTGCACAATATTAAATAATATAATCTGATTGTAATGACAGCGGGCTAATGCAACCATATTTGGCAATATTATGTTCCTCCTTTTTCTATTTCAAATAAAGGCTTATACATACAAACTCTATGAGGTATTCAGGCTCTGGTGCCATCTGATAGTTATGCCACAGACTAAAATTCTCTGGCGTGTCTGGTATTATTTTTTTTTATTATTTGCAAATTTTGAATGAACTATCATCATGGGTACGTGTCAATTCAGTTTTAAGAGTGGATCTTTACACCCAAGTCATACATCTATATTTCTTTCTGCTGTTCTGAGCCCTTCCACTTTGATCAGCGGAGCCGAGTAGAGTCGCTGTGCCAGACTCATTATGAGTAATGAGATGGGGAAAAAGTCGGGGGACCTCATAATGTGTATTAATAAAGTCACTCTATAGCGGCTGCCCTTTGATGCAGACCTTGTTTCAAAAAACTACAAAAGGCTGAGTCGCGTATTGCTAACAAATATCGGAAAGATTTGGAGGTTTCAATCCGGCTTCATCTTCGTAATTTACAGTGCTGTGTGATCACCCCGTTGCCAAGCGTGAAATAGCAAAGACATGATTTCTAGTTATATTACATTAGTCTCTGGCGTGTTTCAATAAAATCGCTTCCTTACCTTACCTTTTTAAGTTGAACTACATAGAGTTGAATAATAGATCATGTTATGCTTTCCCCTCAAAGAAGTTAATTCCCCTTATACCGTCTTCATCATTTATTTGTCACAGACTGCAGTACTAGTCATTAGATGATACCAATTATGTGGTGTATCTCTCATCATTAGCACAATTATTGTCCTCAAAAATAATCTTTGGCTCGGTGTGCTGCAGTGTTTGCAGCACATGCTAAGAAAAGTTGGCATGTATAATTCTACTCTTAATATGCACTACACATATTCTTAATTCACCTGATCATTCCTGAACTATAGAGACAAAAAAGAAGGTGCCTCAAAGAAGGAAATGTGCATATTATAACCAAATTCAATAATAAAGTAATTTTACCTGGGTCATCTTTGTATTCTATTCCATTCTATGCTTTCTATTTACTTACATTATACTATGTACAGTTTCTGTTGTGTGCACCACAGCAGAATGTATGACCGGTTCTGCTGTCTAAACCACACCACCACCCAACCCAGAGCATCCCACTAGCATGATAATAACCCCTCTGTCTTCCAGCACTCAGTTTGTCTGCATGTGTGTGTTCTCCAATGTGGGTTAGAGCAAGGAATCACTGGCCTTTTGTTAGGAATTGGTTAAAGCTGCAAAGACCATGGCCTCCCCTTCTCCATCTTTCTGCCATACAAGGAAGATTTCTACGTATTACACACACTGTCTGCCGCTGACAGAAATTTGAGAATTTCTAACTAAAATTATAGCTAAAAGCCACATGGGAGCCATTCCTGTATGTATCTGTATGCTGAGAAGTGCCTCTGCTCTGCTCTTCAGAGCCCAGTAGTCCCTTTTTAAGTGGTCTTAATGCATATGCTCTTTCATAAACTGCACAATCTCCAAGATAGCTAAAACCTCCAAGAGCTATGAGGAGAGGGCCAAGTAGGGATCAGCTTTGCAAGCATCCCTTGCTGAAAACATTGTAGTGCTCCTTAACTAACATTAACACGTACTAACATTAGCACCACCATACACTCCCCCATATCAATTACCTCACTGTAATTCCTTTTCCGCTGTGCGCACATCTGCACGTCCATTTTCTCTAATCCAGCTGTAAAGCCTACTGTTCATGTCACAGTAGGATACAGCAGCTGGAGGGGCAGCTGTAAAACTGGTCTGATCTGGTGCTGAAAATCTGCTGGAATAAGATTTAACCACACCACCTCGCTCTGGTTCAATCAGACTGCTGGTCCTCAGAACAGGATTACTCCGAACTGTATATAGACCGTAACAGTTGCATTATATTTAAGTGTGAAGAGGAGTGATCAACGCAAGTTCGTGCAATGTTAGCATCACAGATAATCAGTCTACATTCAAGTTATACATTAGGGTGATTTTCAACTGTGGTCCCTGCGTTGGTTTTAGGGGTCCCTATCTAAAGGAGGAATAAAATGTTTTAACTAGGGTTTAATGTTTGATGATTGATTTTCTATGAAGAAACCAAAACCAAAAAACTCAAACCAAAAAATAACAAATGAAATGAAAAAATACTGGGATTCCTTAAAACAAAATCCTCTCAAATGTGGTCTGTGGTCTAATGTGCACCTAATGGGGTCCTTGGCAGGGAAGTTTGGGAACCCCTGATATACAGTATAACTCTTGCTAGCTCCTGTACTTGTATCCATGTGCAGAGTTTGAGTTAAAGATTTTATGTGTCGGATTCTAAATTATTAACCACATGACCCCAGAAACAAAACAAAAATGGACTGTGCAACGAATGACAATGATTCACATTAGTAATAATGTATTTTCTGAATCAAATAAAATGCTAAATGCACTGTCTAAATTGTTACTCTGCAGTTCATTAAGCACATCGCCGAATGAGCATTAGATCATGGCCTATTAAGCTGGTGCTTGATTGGCAAGTGGTGAAATTATAAGCTCATTCTGCATTCACATTTCTGTTGAATTGTAAGGAGCACACATTAAAAACTTGTGTCCTTGCTGCGGATAAAAGTGGATGTAATTACCTAGCAAGCTCCAGCCTCATGGCAGATCGTGATAGTCTAGACGAGAAGTGTTTATATCTGGTTAAGCTATTCACCGCTGGGCTTTGCCTTGTCATGGTCAAAAGAGTGTTCTGCGTGTGAGATCTGCTTTTCCTCTCGTTTTCCACTTAATAGATTCTGCTGTAAAATGGAAGAACATGGTCAGAATATTCAGAATTCAGAATATAATATTCCATATAGTTAATGTTTTTCAAAAAGTATAGCCATTGATGGTGATTACAATGCAAATATATTAACATTTAAAAATGTATCTGTTTCACACAGGAGTTAAAGACTCCAAAGAAAGATGGTTTCACTTCTTTCTACCTACAGCACATTGAGATTGTGTAATTTACCACACTTAATCATAATTAACTACAAAAAGTCTTATCCACTGGAGGGTTCATGGTCCAATGCGAATCTGCTTGGCATGAAAATGCCTGGGAGCCACTGCTCTAGATAACTGTATACCTGTGAGCATACAGTTTGTTTGAAGACTAATGATAAAATACTGATCCACACTGAGAATTTTTCTGTCTGCTTTGCTTCATCTGCAGGGGGGTAAGAGCACATTGTTGTGCACAGATTATCACCTGTGGTCCTGGTCAGTACAGGTTGTTTTCAGCATTATTATCCCCCTGTGCCACTTTGTTGTATCAACAGCCCTTCTTTTTTTTTCTTTCCTTTTTTATACTTCTTTCGCCCCTATTCCTTAGTCCTTACTCAGTTGTGTCTCACTGAAAGGGACCTCAGGTGGTGCTGTTGTCCTGACAACCAATAAGGGGAGCATCACAGCCAGACGGCTGGATAATCTGAGAGAGAGCGAGAGAAGCGAGAGAGAGAGAGGTGGTGGTGGTGGTGGGGGGGTAATTTTCCCAGAGTCTGAGCAGAAGCCTGCCTCTCTCCATCGCCGTTGCTGGCTGTGCCGTCCCTTTACGCGTAGAGCATTACGCATCAGTGGACTATAGCGCGAGGACCCCGCACAGCACTGCACCTTTAAAGTCTTTTAGGAAACCCGTATCACCCATACCTCCCGGACTGCTTTGGACTTAAAGACATCCCGCGTTTTCCGAGAAGTCTGGACAACTACTCTTCTTCCTCCCCCCCTCCTTTTTTTACCCTTGGATCTATAGCTGCCGAAAAGCGCGCTCCTGTGCATTAAAATGCAAGTCGGACGCAAATCGTGTTGGAGGCAATTGCAGGCTTCTTTTTTCAGACTGCTGTGTCTTATCCCCACAGGATTCCCCGTCCGGAGTGTGGATATGCAGCGGGCCACCGACAACATCACCATCCGCCAGGGCGACACAGCGATCATAAGGTAAGAGTCATCTTCACAACTTTCCTCTCCTCCCGTGTGCCTCGCTCCGGGTGCAGCAGCATCCTCGCCGCGGGCAGGCAGCTGCATGCCGCACATCGCAGTAGGACCAAAGATGCTCGTTTTGTGGACTGTGTTGATTTGTTGAGGGAGATCATTTTTGTTCCTCACTGGCGATTTTGTCTTGATTTGCCCTGCGGTGAACTTCTGTTTACCTCAAGATAACAGCAGAGTAAACGGCGATGGGGAGTGTTTGGATGAGTGTTTTGGAGTTGATTCGCAATATGTTCCCAACTTTTATCTCACCAACCGGTCCTGGAAGAAAAAAAATCTAGAATAGTACACACATTATTCCTGTTAAGATTCGTTTTGTAGAGATGCTCGATAATCCCATCCCCTGTGTGCTATTCCTATATGGAATTACAGCGCAGTTTCGCAGTGAATGACATCGGTGTTTTGGAGGGAATTACATGGTTGGAGCCAAAAGCTTAAACGCTTTCGCTGACATGACGCACAGAACACCAGGGCTGTGCTCACTGACTGATTGCTCCTGTTTTTATTTGTGTGCGTATGTGTTTGTGTTTTTCGTACTTCAAGAACCTCTTGACACGGCGAAGTGCGTCACGGTGTCCGGGGATGCTGCTGTGTGTGGATTAATGGCAGAGACGGGGATTCTAGACACAGATAAGAGGATGATGATGCGAGGAGACGGAAAACTGTCCTGTCCTGTCTTGTTTAGATTTTTATTTATATATATATATTTTTTTACGAATGACTATTTTAGAAGAGATTAACTGCAGCCTGCCGGGGACAAGTAGGTAAAGTGCCATCAGTGCCAAAGGACGTTAATTCAATTCAAACTCTGCGCTGTGTGCAACCCCTGTTTGCAGCCCCATGAATATAAACGCTCCAGTCTCCAAATCCAACTCTCTGTGATACACGCAGTCAGTTTTTGTGGCCCTCACATCCCACTTAATCACTTCCCAGACAATGCAAGCTGTCAACTCTGTGGTTCTGCGATACTGCTGGGCAGATGTCAGTGACCACGTGATCCAGGCCATGTGTCTGTGGCAGGCTATAAATGCGAGGGGATTTAGATTTGGTTGGTTTTTGTAAACAAGGCGCTTTACCTCCCCCAGTCCCACTCTGTCCCCCCCAACCCCCCACCCCCACTCTGAAAATGGTATGCACTGTAGGGAAGTCCAGGAGTATAATAGGCTGCACACAGAATACTCAATCACATTGATTTTTTTCACTCTGCCTCACTCTTTCTCTGTCCTCTCCCCACTTTCACGCTGTATTTACAGTACCACCAACCAGTCTCGCCTAATGAGTGTGAGCATATAGAATGCAATTACAGGGTAGACCTTTAACACACAGCCTGTCAAAAAGCCTGCAGACACACCACCAGGTTTCCTCACGTGTGCCCCGAGCTTGTTCAGGGCACACACACACACACACACACACACACTAACATATACAAAAGGAATAAATCCCTTTAATGGATTGCTTCTTGCAACCATCCATTCAGGTATCTGCTGATCAAATTAGTCAATTGACTCAGTTACTGTTGAACTCACCAGGGGTCACAGCTATTTGTTTCACTTTCCAAATCCAATTGACTGCGTCTTAGCTATATTCAGCCGTTTAGTCACCCAGTCAGTCTGTTTCCTTTAAAGGTAATGGCAGGCTTCGCACTCAGCCAGAGCCAAATTAGATCCTCCTTTCCAAGGAAACACTCGCATCCCAAGTCCACTGTTTTACCATTATCTCAGACAAATGATCTTTGAATAATTGTCTGTGGTAATTGCTCAGTGAGTGTCATAATTAATTTGATGTTGTAATGTATCTTGTTGGCGTTAGTGATCAGTCTTATTTATTGTCAGTCACGCAACGATAAACTGCAACTCGGACCCCCGTGGCTCCATTGAAAAACACAACCATTTTTCACACCCAGTTTCCACCTGACAAATTGGATACAGGGGGGAGGGGCGGTGGTGAGGGCATTGGGGCTGAAATGCGAGAACTTTGAGCAGGGGTGGGAGGCCGTCGGCTAGTAATTTGTCGAGCTACACAGTGTATCTGATTCCATAAGCTGGGTTTTGTGAAGGCTGAGGGGATATTGGTGACCTGGGGGCGTAATAAGGCCTGTGCTCCTTTACTGCAGTCGTGACATTCATGGCACAAGAGGAGAGATGCTGGAGTGGAGAAACGGTATGTGGCCGAACAACCGCTGTGACAGAACACACAGCAGCAGGCTTCACTACTGAAATGAGAAAGGAAATTTATTTTTACCAGGGGCCCAGAACTGTGTCATGCTGAATAAATAAGCAAACTGAGTCTATTCTCTTCATGCTTAAAACTTTCAGATTTGCAGCACTTTTATGGCTCACTGTGAAAGCATGTGGCAGAGGTATATATTTAAGCTTTATAATGGCTATGGATTAATTTGTGTCATGAGAATATTTAATAGATTATGTTGACCGTGTGAGGTACATTTAACTGTTGAGAAGAGTCTTAGTCGACTCAGTTTTCATTAGTCGGACAGTCGCAGAAAAATTATGTCAAACTCCATTTGAGAGCTGCGCCTTGTCACCGGGATGAAAGTATCAGAGGGCTGTTGCAACACCGACCTTTTCTCACATATGCTAACTGTGCTAGCTGCTGCCACTAGCTTGTCAGTGGTCTGTACCTGGACTGGGAGCTTGAAGAACAGAGGGACTTTAAACACTACAAGCGCAGGAGAGAGGGACCCAGCGCGGAATACTGCCAAGGAGAGCACGACTGAACCAGGCTCACAGCCTCAACGGAGGCCAGCTGATTTACAGCAGCTCCAAAAAGGACTGACCCTGGGGATGAAGACACGGTGGGTTGATGCAGCGACAGGAGAAGCGTAAAACGGAGGAGGAGAAGCGAGTTTATAGCGAGTTCATTTTCAAGTAACTGTTAACGTTATAAATCATCTATTGTATCAATAGGCCAGCGAGTATTTGGTTTTGTGAAGTAGGACGTTATGTATAGTCTTGTAACGACAAGACTTGTGTGATGTTATATTGTGTTGACATTAATTAGTAAATGTTCAGTCTCCTTACTGGTTGTTTTAAACTTTTCAGAATCATTACCACATTTTCTGTTAGCATTTTACATATCATAAACGTGTGACGACTACTCAACAACTGGCTTGAACTAACAAATACTAGTTGACTAGGAAAAACTTTAGTCGGAGGCAGCCCTATAAAAACGCATTCAAAGTTGCAAGATGCATTACAGATCATAGTGTGAATACTATTAATGGTAATATTATTTATATTGACCTCAATTAATATTAAAACATTAGAATTTTAAGATGAATTCAAATATAGGCCAATACATTGTTGTGACAGGCACACGTACCGTAGCCGACTTTTTTTTCAGAATGTTGTGTGACTCAATCCTTTGTTCACAGAATCTCATTTTCCCCCAGACTCCATCAAAAGTTAACATAAACTAAATATTGACAGCTACCTCCCCCAACCGTTTATGCTTATAGGGATGATTTCAGCAGCTCATCTTCAGGACTGAAATTCAGTGTTAGCCTGCTCTCCTTTAAGTCAGTGTCAGATGTAAAGATTTAGCGACTCTTAACCTCTGAGCCCTTTTGCCTAAACAGGCCATCAAGAGGTTAATCTGAAAGAGATTATTCCTTTTAAAGAAGTCACTATGTCGGACTGGCTTAGATAAACATTTTCGCACCAGCTTTTGTTATGTGAAGTGAATTAGAGTTGATGTTGCGTAGGCTGTGGGATTAAACTCTAGTAACCACAACCATATAAGTGGTAAGGTTTTCTAATGTAGTTGCTTTGGATCTCCAGCTGGACTTGTGTAACATACTTTACTCAAAGTGACCATGTAAGCACGCTTTTCTACTATTTTAATGATCTGGTGGCTTTGAGTTCAAAGATTACAGACTATCTGGGTCTAATATTTATCCCTAAAATGTCGTTTCTTGCTCTAAACAGGGACTCTTATGACAAATGTGAATCTGCTTCAAGTGGCATTTGCCCCTGGAAAGCAGGAACATGAGTTCCAGCATATTAAATCTAGCCCTGTGTTGCAGCAGTCGTGTTTCAGACCTGTGAGATTTAGGTCACTTAAAAACACCCGATATTTCAGAGACCCCTTCCATGGTGACTTAGCCTGTGGTTTTTTTACAAGGATGATGCCAACAAGTGAAATCAAACTCTTCTCATCCTCAGCAATTCACAATATGAATCTGAGGGGAAGAAAAAGAAAAGTTTTTCCATGTTTCTTCAAGCCATTTCTGTTTCACAATAGTTTACTTTTTAATTGCTTTTTTTGAGTACCTCACTATGCGGTGGCCTTAAGGAGAAGGTTGCAATGTCAGGCGAAGCCCTGATAATTGACAATTGCTTATTAAAGCATTAATGACACAGTCTCTGTGATTGCTCTCCTCTGGGTCAATTATCTGCGCTTTGACAATACACTCTGCCTGACTTGTTACTTTCAGGGAAGATGATTCTGCACTTGTGCTTTACCCCAGAGGATCTGCGTCGAGACATACCCCAGAACTCAGCCTTTAATTTGAGTCAGAGTCAGCCAGATATTATGTATGTGCAATCTGCCAGAGGCTCCGACACCACATAAGACATGATGTTGGTCTAATTCAAGTTCCAATACAACTCACAATGCCCGAGAAAAGTGATAACAGTTATTTTGATTTGCATTATTAAAACCTCTACTATTGAACTATGATGCATCTTTGAGTGCTGCGATGTGCATCAGCCACACTCCAACGAACTGCACTATGCAATATGGAAACAAAGACTTTCTGGATTTGTGAAATTAGTTGTTATTCTCAGCAAATCCCCGGTTAATTTTCACAGTACACCTGTACCAATCCCACAACATATGTATTGAAAGCATGCAGTAATCTATATGTCATCTCTGGAGGTTATGATGAAAACAAATTTTTTTATTGTAATACAGAAATATTGTATCTACAG